GAGTGAGGAAGAAACTCGCTCTGCAGAGTGAGCTTGGACCTAGTAAGGGGGAAAGCGAGACAGAAGTACACTATGGAGGATGTAGGGCAGGATTTCGTCAGGAAAGCCTGATAGCAAGCTCTTCTTGGTATGTGTCCTTTTATGTTGTCCAAATCTCAAGAAAACTGAGAACTTCTCCCTACAGGACCTGAGGGGTGGTGCTGAGATCCTATGCCTCCAGCTGACATCAGATCTAGCCATCCTATTGAAGACCTGCTGGAGATCTCAGGAGAAGTCTATGTGCGGGGTTTTGGGCACTGTTCTGCACAAGTGTTCTGGAAACTTGTAATTAACATGTCATACCTACTTCCCCAGTCAGCTTTGCCATGTCCTAATCTCTGGTCTCAAGATAGTGTAGATGAGGTAATGTTGAGCATGTAAGAATATTTGGGAACATAATATGCCTTTTACCAGTGTTAACATAAACCAATGGTCACAAAAACGCCTCCCTAAATCTTAGAGGTTAAAAACAATCTCAAGACTCCTTTTTAAAAATTCTTACTCGTTCCTATCTACCAGTAAATTTTTTTTACCAGTAAATTTTTTAAAAAGTTAAAGTAATAAATGTAAGTTTATAAGTAGTTTATAAGTGGTTCCTTGCCCTCCCACTTCCCATCCCCAAGGTTTTTCTCTACTTTTCACTTTTTGTTATTTCTTTGTTGTTTGCTTCATTTTTCTAAAACACAGATTGCTCAGCTTTACCCAGAGTATCTGATTTAGTGTTAGATGGCACCCAAGAATCTGCATTTCTTACAAGTCCTTAGATGGTGTTTTTATTCCCAAGTTTTAGCACCACACATTATGAAGCACTGCTGGGTTATAAAGAATCCACATGTCAAAAATAGGCTTTTGAAAGGAAAGTTTATTCAAGTTAATAGAGACTAAAATCAGAGTCTAGTAGCTAGCTGGGAAAGATTTCATCTGTGGGTAGATAGGCTGACACCAGGAGAGAGAGAGATATTAGAACTAACTGGGAAAGGAATTAGGCTTACATAGGTATTGAAGGGGCTAAGGAATGTGGGGTGAAATTTTTTTTTTTTTGGTACTGGGGATCGAACTCGGGACCTCGTGGTTTCAAGGCAGGCAGCAGCACCGCTGAGCTAAATCCCTGGCCCTTGGGGTGAAATGTTTATGACTTAGATGCCCAAGTACAGTCTGCTCAGGTGTGTAGACAATTACTGGACTTTTGATGCCAGGGGGGTTGTATACTTCATTTTGAGTCGATTTGTCCTATTTACTCAGAAGCTGCTGTTGTTTGCTAAAAGTAGCCTATTTGCTTTGTCCTCTTGGTTTGGGCTAGGCCTGACAAAAAGCACAAACACAAAGAAACATGTGGGGCTGCAGTCTTAGATTTCTTTTTTTAAACCATAGCTAAGGTAGTTTAGGGGAGACCCTGAGCTGCTGTAACACTCACATAGTTGCAAAATGTTGAGCATTTTGGTCTGATCTGTATTAGAGAGAGGCTGTTTGGGCAGGCATTGTATGGACAATGAGACAGTTTATTCATTCGTGCCTGTGGCAGGCTGAGTCTGGACCCTGACTGGACTCAGCATGGAGTGGGCAGAGAACAAAGAATTTAAAGGGAAGAGGTGGGATTATTGCCTTGAGGAATTTGGGGGCCAGATAGAATGAGGTCACTCTTTTTGGGACAGCAGGTATCTTGTTTTTGTTCTTTGAGGTTTCCTGTATTTCTCCTGAAGAGGCTTGATGGCTTCCTGGCACACTTGAGGCTGTGCCCTTACCTGGGTGGTATGCACACAGTCCCTCTGGGTTGCCTCACTGGCCAGGTATGACAGTATTCACTCCTTGTGGGAGTGTTTCAGTATCTTATCTGTCTTTCATGGGCCAACTGAAGTGCTACTTCTACAACAAGTTTTCCTTGAATATCCCAGAGAGCAGTGCTTTTCCCTGAAAGCTTGATACCTCTTACTGCTTGGCATGTTTTATTTGTACTTATAGTCCAGGCTAGCCTTGAACTCATGGTGATCCTCCTGCTTAAACCTCCCCAGGTTCTGCGATTGCAGGCTCCATTACTGTTTTCTCTTCCTTTTTAGATGGCTGACTCTTGAGGATAGTGAAAATTTGGGTCCAAGCTTGGCAAGGGATTTTAAAACTATGCCACAGTGTTTGAATTTTTACTAGTAGGTGGGAAGAGTCAATGGGATACAGGGGAAATAAATATAACTCTCAGCCTGTTAGATGTTAAATACACCAAGTTCATATTCCCCAAAATCGAAAAATGAATTCTAGGGAGCAATGGAGATTAAGAATAGAAAAACTTTATTGAGAGAGAGAGAGAGAGAGAGAGAGAGAGAGAGAGAGAGAGAGAACACTCCTGAGAGACAGGAGGGGACCTGAAGGAAGTTTTATAGAGCGAAATCATGAAGTCTGTATAAAATTATGCAGTGCATAGAGCATGGATCAAAACTATCATTAACCGAAAAGATTACAAGTATAGCTGCTTAGGTAATAGTGATCCAACAAGGAAGCAGGTCACTTAGCAAGTGTGCATGGAAAGAACAAAGACCTTTTGGGATCAGGAGGTCCTAGTCACCCACCTGGGTGACTGATGTCTATCTAGACTTTATTGTACCAGGTGATATCAATTATAGTATAATCTTTAATTTTTTGCTTATCTCTTGGGGAGGCACGTAGGCCTGGTCATTCTGTCTTTATTTTGAGGCCTAGCCTTCGACAGATGGACCTTTGGCCACAGTTGTAATGTATTTTCATCTTCTGCACTGACTCCTTCAAGGGCTTAGCCTATAATATTTCTACCTAACTTAGCTGTTTATAATAATTGGAGCTTATATTCAAAAATTGAAAAGAAAAAAAAGCTGGATTATTTTAGAAATACTGTATAATGAGTAGTAATGTAGAGAAGTGTGATGGAAAGCAAAGAGAATAACACCAAACTGCTGTGTATGTGATTGAGGTGAAAGTTGCTATTTGTGGAAAAGCAGCTTGAGAGTGTCAACATGTAAGTGGTGTTGCAAAACAGAACTTAAAAGTTAGATTTTTTTCCTTTGGAGACGAGTTGCTTCTCCAAACTTCCTTAGGCCTGGGATATAACTGGCTACCCTCATCTCTTGTCATCTCAGACAAATGGACAGAGTATGCAGATGTTGGCACCAGAAAATCAAAGTTTAGTTTCATTTTCCCAGGGAAGGGAGGGAGAGGTCTGGTTTCAGGAAGGGATGGTACCCCGCCCCCCCCCCCCCTTACTGTGAAAAGACCCTAACACACCTGTCCATGGTGAGATAGTCATCCGAGGCAAGTGGGCCCTTCCATTGCCTTGGAGCTGGCTTTGAATAAATTCTCCTTTCTTTTTACCAAACGTAAATGACCTTCTTAGATTTGGTCAGCAGCCAGCATATGGACCTAAGTAACTGGTGACAAATGGACACAGTCCGAGGAAGTTCCTGAGTTGATGGCGAAGCTCCACTCACACCACTCACAGAGTCAGGTCCCTGACTCCCATCACAAAAAATAATTTTCAGGATTTGTCAGCAGGCACAGAAAAGATTTGTTTAGGAAGAAAATACACACTTAGAAGGGAGTGGAGGCCTTCAGAGAGTGAGACTCATTTTCATCAGGAGCTGAGTGTGTTTATTTGGATTTGGGGTTAGAAATCTGGAATTTGTGAGCCTATGCAAAGCAGAGGTTCAAGTTACAGGTGAGGGGTGATAGCCAGTTCAGAGGGGAAAGGCCCATTTAGGTGAAAGTAGATGGCCTGTTCACAATTGAAAAGGCTTTTTTGACTCAAAAAGTGGCCAATTTACAGGCTTTTTGTTGTCTTTAAGAGCTTGCACTCTAGGAGACTGAAGTAGGAAGATTGCAAGTGTGAGCCCAGCCTGGACAACTTAGTGATATCCTATCTCAAAATAAAAAATTAAAAATGAGCTAGATATGTAGGTCAGTGTTCAATCTCAGGACCATCAGAAAAAAAAATACACATCCCCCCAAAATCCTTTAGGAATTATTTTTGGAATGAGTTTCCTGGAAGGGAAAAACACATGAGTAACTTTTGTGTTACAATTTAAAAATTATGATTTTCCTTCCTATTATCTTTATTCTATCCTCCTTCAAGAGGAGGGAATAGAGGCCTCATTTGCCTCTTAGGTGGTAGAGTAACTGGGTGTGGTTGAGAACACACAGTGATGCTGAGGCCATTGATTAAGTATGCTTTTGGTTATAGTAAGAGAGAAGCCATCTCAAGCTAGTTTAAATAATTTTTGTTGACCTACCTAATACAAAAGTTAAGATTGCTGCCCTGAAATTGTCTCTTCAGCTAGTACTTTAATAAATGGCAAATACTGCATTTACCAGAGGTATGTTTATATCATGATGAATTCCAGGTGTGAAATTGGTGGGTCAAAGAATTTAGACATTACAATTATTTTTTTTTTTAAGACAGGGTCTTTCTATGTAGTCCAGGCTGGCCTAGAACTTGCAGTGGTCCTCCTGCCTCAGCCTCCTAAGTGCTGGGATTACAGGTGTGTGCTACCATGTCTGGCAACCTTACAAATTTTGATATGTATTGCCAAATTGTTTGTCTTCTAGATATTACACACTATTGTATCTTCTCACTAGCAATGATTAAATGTCTTTTCCCTGCATGCATGCTGACTCAATGAGTTACTCCTCTGTCTTCACTGCTATTCAGAGATGAAAAGGGCATCATTGCATTATTGAAAAGTGCTCTTATTGAGCGCTGTGGAATTTGAATCATACAGTGGTTTTGACTAGATTTTGTTGAATTAGTGAAATGACTATTTTACTATTATGAGTGTCAGTACACATATGTAATCTATATACTTTTCTTCTTTTGGAAACCACAGTAAATGGTTTTTATGTGACTAGAGAACACTATTTAGTACTATATATATTTGAAACTATACATTAGAGCGTAGATGCTTAATTTTCATTATTTTAAATCACTATATATCTTTTATTTGCAGGTTTTATCTGAGAGAACTAACATTGAACTTTGGGTTTGTGCCAACATCATTCGTCTCTTTAATGATGATAACACAATTCCCTTCATTGTACGTTATAGAAAAGAGCTCATCAATAACTTGGATGCTGATTCCTTGAGAGAAGTTCGACAAACCCTCGAAGAGTTGCGGTAAGAAATCCTAGAAGGGCTCAGCCTAATGTAAGGGGGTAGAGGCTGTGTGATCCATCAGGGACAAAGTGAATGGCTGTATATTTTGACAGTTCTGGGGTTTCTTTTTCTTGAATTATTGTCATTTGAAGGTATTCCTCTTCTGACTGAGAAAAATCAGCTCTAATTTACTTAGTGTATGGAGTCCCTCTGCTGGTGTGTGTATGCATAGCATGGGTGTGTAGCAGTTGAAAGGTAACTGTGTGCCTCTGGGTTTGACTATTGCCTTCTCTCAGAAATGATTGAGTATAAGGGCAAAATTAGCATTTTCAGCAGGAAAGGCAGAAAGGTACATGTTGGTCTAAATCTTCAACAGCTTGTATAAAACTGTCTTTGTAATACTACATAATCCCTAAATGGAGAGTTTTTTGGAAGTACCAGATGGCTTCCAACCTGTACTAACTTGACATAACAATTTTTTGACTATGTGATGGCCAAAACCATAAGTATTCAGTAAAAGCCATACTTTGAATATTTTGAATTTTAATTGTTTTCTAGGGTAGCATTTTATGCTGTTGGATGCTCTCTTGTGATCCTGCTCTCAGTCAGCCATGTGATCACAAGGGTAAATAACCCATACTCTACAGCGTCCTGTGTTCTATAGAGTTTGGTAGGAAATATATGTCCTTTTTCTATTCTTTTAAAGATAATGGTAATTTAATCTTAGTCAATTATAAGTTTTGTATGGTTACATAATAGAAAGTACAGTAGCTTTTAAAAGATTATGCCTTTGAATATAATATAGTAACTCAGAAATATGCATACAAGAACCGTAAGACTAACCATGTTACTCAGAAGCATTTGTCAAAACATTGTTTACTCTTTAGGTGTTTATTGCATGTCTTTTATAGATTTTGAATTGCTAATGTGTATATTCTTCAATTCTACAACAAGGATCTGATTAAAATTGTATATTACCCTTCCATAAAGCTATTTGAAAAGTACTAAGGATTAGCTTTATAATAATCCTGATAAGCTTTCTGTGATGTTTGGGGAACCGGTATCCGCTAACCTTTCTGCCCCTTTTGTTGAAGTTCTTTTAGTGCCAGAAGAATTAACATACTAGTTTGTAGTGAATTGTATTTCATTGAGAGGCAGAATCAATTAGCCAATTAGAAGTAAAAATTACTTGCTAATCAAAGGTGCAAATCGTTCAGGTCAGGCTGGTATAATCCAGCATCAGAGCATAAGAACTGGAAATTACAAATCCTGTCTAAAATGAGAGCCTTGACTCTTCTCTAGCAGATCACTGATGTGCAGGGCTGTTTGTTTGCCCACTTTGCTAGAGCTTCCTATTTCTGAGAAGAAGTTGGGAATCTGGGATTTTATGTAAAAACATTTCTGAACCAAATGAAACCATCCACAGGGCACATCGGGAAGGCCAGGAGTTTGCAGATTTTGAAGTAAGCTTTCTGCATTAAAGCTTGCATATTATGGATAAAGTGTGAGGGTTTTTGGACCTGAAATTGGGGGAAGTGTCACAAACAAGAATAGTTTGCTTAAAACAATTAGGTATTCTAACAATCATTGTATGGAGGCAAATAGAAACTTGATGTCAAGATTATTATTATTGTTTTCTTTTTCTATTAAATAAACACTTCTGCCAAATTCCATTCTTTGGATTTCCATTAATAGAGGAATAGTTGAATATTCGTACAGGAGTATTCTTTAAGATAAGTGGGGGCATTGCCTGGGGCTTAGATTTTTTTCCCAGAAGATAGACATTTATTTTTGGTAATGAGATGTGGTCTCTACTTTTTCTTAAGCTCAGAATTTTTTAGAACTAGAGCTTTGGTTCTCAACTACCAATTGCTACCTGTAGGTGAGAAGTGAAGCCAATTTAATAAGTCATGCCACTTAAAAAAAATGAAATAAGAGAATAGAGAACATAAGAATGTAGTTTTCATAGTAGAAGTACATATTTCATGAAACATTGTTTCAGTTTTACATATGTATGTATAAATTGGGTTGGAAAATAAAATACATTTCTTAGTATGCATTGCCATTAGAAAGTGAATTAACATATTCCTGTTGGCTTGAACCACCGGTGGTACATGCATGACCATCCATCCTGTCGGGCAGCTTGTTTTACCAGTGGTAGAAGTTGTACAGTCATGCATGTAGCACTGGTGGTTAATGCCACATGGCTGCAAGGCATATGAATTATGGTCCCATTGTGAAGTTAAATAATATAATTCTGGGATAGCAAAAAAAGTTGCCTGCATTTTTCTTTAAAGTTACCTATTTTTTTCTTTATGTTCAGGCCAGCAGGACATAGTGACATAATGTCATTTTGACATAGTGTCATAATGACCCTGGCAGCTGTTAGTCCTTGACAACAGTTTTGGGCTACCAGGACTATGAAAGACACATAGGTTGTAATCTAACTTCATATTCTGCATATTCTTTCCTTTAACTGACAATCTTCTGCCTTAAGTTTTTTAAAATATAGGTAGATGGGCTGGGGATTTAGCTCAGTGGTTCTGCCGCCTGCCTTGCAAGTGCAAGGTCCCAAGTTTGATCCCTGGTACCAAAAAAAAAAAATACAGGTAGATTTAAATTTGCACCAGTCAGTTTTTAATAGTTCAGATCATTTCTAACTTTTGCCTATCATTTTAACAATACAATTATTGGGCATATCCTATAAATAGGAACATGTAATAAAATAGGATGAGAAGCATTAGATACAACAGTAAGATTCAGCCTGATATGGTGGTATGTGCCTGTAATCTCAGTTATATGGGAGGCTAAGACAGGAAGATCTCAAGTTCAGGGCCAGCCTGGGCAATTTGGTGAGATCTTATCTCAAAAGGGGGGTGGGTGCTGGGAATACAGCTCATTGAGAGAGCTCAGTGCCTAGCATATGTGAGTCCCTGGGTTCAATCCCCATTATTGGAAACAAAATGAAACAAAACAAAGTGAAAAATGAGATTGAATATTTACATTGAAAAACCATTGTAAAGCGGGGAAACTACTGTGTCCACCCCTTCCCTTACCCGTATAAGTATATAGATTTCTGTATATTCCATGGAATAAACTTTTTTACATGGAGTCCTGGTTCTTCTTAGTGGAGAATGGTATTTAGAAAACAGTTGTGGGTGCCAGGTGTACCCAATTTGAGCAGTGATACTTCAGTAGTAATCAGCATATTTAGTACCTGTAACATGGTTTTCAAGCCTCATTACCCTAATTCCACGCCTGGGATAAGGAAAGTAAAGATGAGTTGGGACTATCTTATAGCAGAGAATGAAAAATGCCCAAAAAATGATGGGGACATGTCAGAAGAATACAACAGGATTACTTCGGACTAAATGTGGGGCAATATGAGCATTAAAGTGATAGAAATTGATTATAACCACTAAATAAAGAAATCATGAGTCTATAATGATATAAATAAATGAGTGAATAAAGCTTAATCAAGAATGGTATAATTACCTAGTCCCAAAATACTTCTCCACAAAATACTTATTAAAAGAGAATAAACAATGCCACTACGATGGAGAAACTCACAAGACACTACCTTAGTCAAGTGATGAAAGTTGATTAGTAATGGGACAAATCAAAATCATTTGCCACCTGGTAGGATGTGGTAGAAAAACAAGTGTCACTTTTGTAATATTCCTGCAGAGTGACAACACAGGAATTTAATTGTAAGGAAATATCATAGAAACTCTAAAATAACTCTTATAGCCTTCAAAAGTATGAAGGCCTTGAAAATCAGCGAGATTATAATACTGTTTCACCTTGAAGAGACTACATACATGACAATTACACGTAACACCTGATTCTGGAGGGACTACACTGCAGAGGACATTATTGACATACTTGGTAAAATTTGAATAAAGTGTCAGTTCTAAGGATAGATGCTAGTAATAGATCATCTAATTATTAGATGATATCAATATAAGCATTAATATCAGTAATAACCTGTTATGATAGTTGCATTGTGATTTTGTAGGAGATTATTGTTTATAGAAAATGTACACTAGTGTATTTGGGGATGCTGTTACTCTCAAATGATTTAAAAAGAAAGGGATTCTTCTTACTTTACCTGAAATTTTTCTATAAATTTGAGAAAGCCTCAGAAAGTTTTGCCATACAGGTCTTACATATTATAAAAGTTTTTATTTTCAGGGCGATTGCAAAGAAGGTTCATAGTACAATCCAGAAGATTAAGAAGGAGGGAAAGATGTCTGAGTGTTTGTTAAAAGCCTTGCTGAACTGTAAAAGTTTCGAAGAACTAGAACATGTGGTAAGAGACTGTTTTTATACTTTAGTACCTGAATATATTATAATTTTGGTCTTTTTATAATTTAAGACTAAGGTATTAAAGGCCAGTTCATTGACCTTCATTATTTAATTCATCAAAACATTTATTCTTTATCCAATAATTTTTTTTTTTATGCTCGGCACTTTGGTTTCCAAATATGATAATACGTAGTCCTTGCCTTCAAGGAGTTACCAGTCAAGTGGGGAAGGAGAATAGATTATAGAAATGTGAAAGTCAATTGAGAGGACTGAACTGGAGACAAGTATGAGTGTAGGTAATTGGTACAATAGTTGGTACATTTGACTCTGCAGTTATTTGTGATTTCTGTATTTGCATAGTCAACCAAGTGTGGGTTGATGATATTTGAAAAAAAAAATATGTCTGTGTTGACCACATACAGAGTTTTTTGTTATTATTCCCTCAACAATACAGTGTAACTGTTTACATAACATTTGCATTATAAGTAGTTTGGAGATGATTTAATGCATACGGGAGGATATGCATAAGTTGTATTGCAAATATTATGTCATTTTATGGAAAGGATTTGAGCATCTGAAGATTTTTGTATTTATAAGACTGGGGAAGGTGTTCCAGAAACCAAACTCCCATGGATATTGTGGCAGGGTTGTTTTGCAAACTATGAGAATGGAAGAGCTTACTTGAGGAGAGTTTGTGAGTGAGCATATCAGGGTTTTTTTTTTTGTACCTGGGATCGAACTCAGGACCTTATGCTTGTGAGGCAGGCGGCGACACCACTGAGCTAAATCCCTGGCCCGGGAACACCAGCTTTTGAAGTGTGGATGAAGGGGGAGAACCTAAGGAGATACAGGAAAAATGGTCAGAGATATAGTTGGAGAGTCTGGAGGTGATGTTACATGAAACAGTAGGAAATAGGGTTTTAGAAGGAAGTAGTAATGATCAGTGGTTAAATGCAGCAGGGAAGTTTGGCAAGATAGGCCCAAACAGCTATATTTTGTAATTAAGAGATCATTGTGGATCTTTATGATACCATGTTGAGCAAGGTATGTGAGAAGAGAAGCCAGATGGTGCTGGGTGGAGGAGTGAATGTGGGTTAAGAAGTCAAAGCATCGTGTCCAGACAGCTTTTAGAGGAGCTGGCAAGGTTTGAGGAGAGGGCCTTGCAGTCCAAGCAGTGAGTTTTTTATATGAGTAAAGCCAAACAAATAAATATATAGAAAAAGTATGAAGAGTAAGATAAGGCACATACTACCCTCATGCAGCAAGTGTTAGCTACTTAGTAGGAATTCATCTCTGAAGGAAGAGGAAAAGGTGGAAAAAAGGATTTCAGGCTTCTCAGTATGGCTTCTAATTTGCATGCTAGTTTTAACTTTTTCATTTAAAAACCAAATCCTGTGTTATGTTTTCTGCCTTTCCTCCCTAGTCTGCTCCATATAAAACTGGGAGTAAAGGCACAAAAGCCCAAAGAGCAAAGCAGCTGGGATTAGAAACAGCAGCCTGGACACTACTTGAGAATCCAGGGAAGCTCAATCTGCTCTCTTACATTCGACCTGATGTTAAAGGTACCAGCTTTAAAGAGATCAGCTTTCTTTCTTTCCTCCTTTTTTTAATTCAAAAACTTGTTAGAAATGGCTTCATTAAGTAATGTCCACACAAAAGAATATTATAGCATGCAAAGAATAAGTGATTATAATAAAACAGGTCCTGTGACAGACCTATTGCTTAGCCATTCAACTTTTCTTTCTTGAAGAAGTGCTTGTTCTAGTCATTTGCCCATTTTTATTTTGTTATTTCTTTTTTTCTTAATAGTTTATAAGTATTTGAAAAATAGTTTTTAAAAATAGTCTTTGTTACTTATAAGTGCTGCAGATCTTTTCTCCCAGCTTGTTCTTCTTGTGTGTGTGTGTGTGTCTGTGTGTGTGTGTGTGTGTGTGTGTGTGTGTGCTGGGGATTCAACTCAGGACCCTGCACTTGCCAAGCAGGCGCAGTCTTCTTACTTTTTTTATGCCATTTCTTAGAAAATAGAAGGCCTTAGTTTTATTAATCTTTTAAGATAATTGGTTTTTTCTTTTTAAAGAAATTCCTTCATATCCTAAGGTTATAAAGATTCTTGTATATTGTCTTTTAAAGCTTTTATTATAATTCTAAAAGTTTAATTATAAAATTCATTTTTATTGTTTTAAAAGAATTTCAATACTTCTGACATGCACAAGGTATAAATTAAAGCTCCACTCCTACACTTCTGCTTTGTAGGGAATAAAGTGTCTTTTTCTGAAATTTACCTCCAAGTGTATCTTCCTGTCCTTTTATATGTGGGAGAGAATGAGAGAGGGAGGGAGTAAGGGAGAGATGTTTCTGAGAGAAACCCAAGGAAATGACAGTTTGATTCATGTCAGAATGCATTGGTTTTATTGTCAAAATGAACACTACAGTGTGAATTTTCTGGATAACAGTGGCTCATTTTCAGAATTGCCTTTAGGATTGAGAGGGGAGATGAATGGCCTGGTGATTACTTCTCTTTTAAAAAATATTTATTTTTTGTGTTTTAAAAGTGTATATAAGGAGTACAACATGATGTTTTGATATATATTTATATGTACAGATATATATAAATGATTACTGTATTAAACAGTACTGTAGATAATAAAATTAATATATCCATCATCTCAAGGTTAACTTTTTTGGTGGTAAAACATACTCTTAGCAAATTTTCAGTATATAATACAACACTATTAACTGTAATCCTCAGGCTGTACATTAGATCTCTAGCCTTATTCAGCTGAATTACCAGTCTGCAACTCTGACCTGTATCTCCCTAACCTAGTTCTAGTTTCTTTTGGCCTTCTGTTGATTCTTAGGGCTGGGAGACGTAAGTGTCTGTAGGGGGCACTCTCTCATAACAAAATCCATGTTTTGTACTTAACTGTAGAAAATCATAGCATACCATAACCTGTTTTTATTTTACATAATCCAGAAAATTATTTAACATTTAAATTTGTGATTTAAAAATTGAGTATGTATGCATGTAAAACACAATTACCTGTTCATATACAAACATATATCTCAGTCTGTGAAAATAGACAATAATGAAAAGAAAAAGCAAAATGATGTTATTTGAATTTAGAGATGGTTGAAATAAGTAAGATTCTAATTTGCTTAATTTTATTATTTATTTATTTATTTATTTATTTATTTATTTATTTTTTGTACTGGGGATTGAACTCAGGACCTTGTGCTTGCAATGCAGATGCGGTGCCACTAAGCTAAATCCCTGGCCCACTAATTTGCTTAATTTAAAAAGTATTTATAATTAGATGTCAAATGGTTGCAACATTTAATATTTTAATAATAGCTGAGACTGAAGAGTCAAGCCTTGAGGTTAACCACAGTAAAAACTATCTATGCTCATCATGGTGTGTTTTTATTACAATGGAATATTGAAGCTTTTGGAATGTTGGATGCACAAAGTTTTATTTTCTATTTTCTCCTTATGGCTTTCTTTTCCTTCTGTTTCCCACCTCCTTTGGCTCAAAGGTCTACTTGGTTCTTACAGATTCAGAGTTCCTACTGGGTAGATTTTTTTTTTTTTTTTTTTGGTACTGGGGATCCAACTTTGGTCTTTACGCTTTCGAGGCAGGCAGCGGAACCACTGAGCTAAATCCCCGGTCCCCTACTGGGTAGATTTTTGATAACCATATCTCTTTTGGTTGTTGTGTTTGGTAATATTCCTGGGGTACATGATAATGAACACCAGGTATTGATATTTCTGATCATGTGGATAGCTCAGAACCAGTATAGTTATAGTAGTACTTACAGCCATAACAGGACTTTCTGTTTGCTTATTCCCTCTTTCTTTTATCTTGATTGCAAATGTAGAAGAATTATAATTAATTACAAGTAAGCTAGGTACTGCTTTTTAAAGTTCACGTGAAATGTTTTTCTCTTCTTGCTGCACCCTCGTGCTTCATAATACATGCATACACACAACCACCTTCCACTGTTATTGTTTTTCTAAAGAAACATTTTCATCATTCTCATCATTCCTCAAAGAAATACTTAAGAAACCAGTTATTTTGCCCCTCCCTCCCATTAAACACTTCTTGCTTGCCACAGACCAACAAGAATTTGGTTTGAATTATGTCTTAGTTACTTTGCTCATTGCTGAGAAAATACCCAACATCCAAGTTAAGGGAGGATAAGTTTATTTAGCTCACAGTTTATAGAGGTTTCAGGCTATAATTGACTGGCTCCAAGGCAGGGTGGATGGCAGACAGGCCTTGCAGAGGAGAAACAGTTCATGGCAGAGAGAGGGTAGCAAAAGCAAAAGGGAACTTAACACCTTCTTTCTGCCCCTTTTATCTTGTGTAGACTACTTAGGGCAGGTAGCACTCACACCCTTAGTCCTAGTGCCCTCAATCCTAGCATTGCACCATGAATCAATCCCAGCAGCGCACACTCTAGATCCAGCCATCTCTGAAAAATCCCCACCTATGACCCCCATGAAACTTTGTGGGAACATCTAGACACAAGTCATAACAAATTGAGAAGCTCTCCTGTGCCACAGATGGACTGTATCCTGAAGAGCCAGCCCATCCTGGGGTTATACCCAGTCAGGAGCAGGTGGTGGTTCTGTTCTAAATAGGAGGCAGCAAAGTGAAGCTAAAACTGTTCAATTTTTTGTTACAGGTGTGGTGGCTTGGAGATTCTGTTGTTGGAAAGAATACATTATGAGGAAGGGATATGAGTTTTGGATTCTGTGGGCCATATTTCCTCCTGATTTCACTGAAATGCTAAACTTTTGGAACTCTTTGTTATCCTCGTGTGTCTTACTAATCCCAATGATCAATTCTGTGTGATTGGGGAAAGAGCTTTTTCAAAATGGATAAGCTTTCTTTTCCAGTTCTTTTCTGGTTGAGCTGAGAGGGATATGTGAGTTCAAAGAGCTTCCCAGCTGATCTGATAATTTCTGCCACCCATGAGACCACTTCTCTGAGAGGGTTCAAGGCACCTCCCTAGCAGTGCCTCTTTTTTTTTTTTTAAACTTTAATGAAGATGAGAATCATCTGAGATGTTCTGTGAAACAATGTAATCCCACAGTCTGGAAATATATACACACACACACACACACACACACGTGTGTGTGTGTGTGTG